CAACACATCCATTTTAACACTCGTGGAGACCGGCTACTCGACCACTGCTACACCTCTTTCCGGGATGCGTACAAAGCCCTCCCCCACGCCCCATTCGGCCAATCAGATCACCGCTCCATCCTGCTCCTGCCCGCCTACAGGCAGAAGCTGAAACAGGAAGCTCCAACCCGGAGGGCGGTGCACTGTTGGACGGACCAATCGGAGTCTGCGCTGCGGGACTGTTTTGATCACGCGGACTGGGAAATGTTTCACGTGGCTGCTAGGGACATTGATGAGTACACAGACTCAGTCTGCGGATTTATCAGGAAATGCGTGGAAGATGTCGTCCCATCCAGAACAGTTAAATCCTTCCCAAATCAAAAACCCCGGATTAACGGAGATGTTCGCGCGGCACTGGTGGCACGGAGCACCGCCTTTGCCTCCGCGAACACATCGGACTACAAACACGCACATTACCAACTCCGGAAGACGATCAAAGCAGCCAAACGTGAGTACAGGGACAGGGTGGAGCAACAGTTTGACAACCCCGACAGACTTTAGAGGGAAAACCAGCACACCGCAGACCACGGCCTCTCTGTGTGAGGATCTAAACGTATTCTACGCTAGATTCGACACAGCGAACACCATGAGACCGGACAGTGTGCGCACCGAGGATGACGTCAGTGCGCACACTGTGTCTGAGGAGGATGTGCGGAAGTGCTTCAGGAAGGTGAACGCACGCAAAGCTACTGGTCCGGACGGGATTCCCGGCCGCGTCCTCAGGTCATGCGCGGCTCAGCTGGCTGGAGTGTTCACGCACATCTTCAACCTTTCCCTCTCTCTGTCTGTAGTCCCAGCCTGCTTCAAAATGGCCACCATCGTCCCTGTACCCAAATCCTCCACCATCTCCTCATTGAACGACTGGCGACCTGTAGCCCTGACCCCCATCGTAAGCAAATGCTTCGAGAAGCTGGTCAGGGACTTCATCTGCTCTGCACTACCCGACTCACTGGACCCTCTACAGTTCGCATACCGCCACAACAGGTCCACTGATGATGCCATAGCCCTGACACTACATACTGCCCTGTCACACCTGGAGAAGAGAGACACGTATGTGAGAATGCTGTTTGTAGATTACAGCTCAGCATTCAATAACATCGTTCCCTCGAAGCTGGACAGGAAACTCCAGGATCTAGGACTGAGCAGCTCCCTCTGCAGCTGGATCCTTAGCTTCCTGTCTGACAGACGCCAAGTGGTCAGACTGGGCAGCATCACCTCATCTCCCATCACACTGAACAATGGTGCTCCACAGGGATGTGTACTGAGCCCTCTCCTGTACTCACTCTACACCTACGACTGCACAGCCACTAACAACTCCAACATCATTGTGAAGTTTGCGGACGACACTACAGTGGTGGGTCTTATCACCAATGGTGATGAGACGGCTTACAGGGAGGAGGTCAGTGCCCTGTCCCACTGGTGTCAAGACAACCATCTCACCCTCAACGTCGCAAAGACAAAGGAGTTGATAGTGGACTTCCGGAGGTGCAGAGAAGTACACACCCCCATCACCATCAACGGCGCTGCTGTGGAGAGAGTGAGCAGCTTCCGGTTCCTTGGTGTACATCTGGCTGAGGATCTTACGTGGTCAGTACACACAAACAAAACAGTGAAGAAGGCGCAGCAGCGCCTCTTCTTTCTCAGGAGACTGAAAAGATTCGGCATGAGCCCCCGCATCCTCAGGACCTTCTATTACTGTGCCATTGAGAGCATCCTCACTGGATGCATCACCACCTGGTATGGCAACAGCACCGCCTACAACTGCAAAGCTCTCCAGCGAGTAATGCGGTGCTCTGAACGGATAATTGGAGGTGAGCTTCCCTCCCTCCAAGACATCTACAGGAAGCGCTGCCTGAGGAAAGCGGGGAGGATCATCAAGGACTCCAGTCACCCCAGCCATAAACTGTTCAGACTACTTCCATCAGGAAGGAGGTTCTGCAGCATCCGGTCCCGAACCAGCAGACTGAGAGACAGCTTCTTCCATCAGGCCATCAGACTGCTGAACACGTCATAGACACCTCAGCTTCACTACTGGAACTTTAACATTATGCACTCCATACTGTACAGTAATGCCACTGTTTTGCACATGTCTCAACTCTGTATATTTTTATATATTTTATTTATTGTTTACTCTATTTAATTTGTAAAATATGTGTACACACACACACACACACGTAGAAAAATATTTAGTATACACATCCAGAAATGCATATACTATTATATATTGTACATATATTTATTAGTTTCAGATGTAGCCATTCTTGTATTTTGCTTGTTTACATTATTGTATTTTGCACAACTCTGTTGCTTGTGAAGCTCACACACAAGAATTTCACTCACATGTGCTGTACCAATGTACCTGCACATGTGATGTGACAATAAAAGTGATTTGATCTTTAAAATACCAGAATAGGGAGGATGGTGTAGGTTTAAGTTTATTAGATTGATCAGTATTGCTGAACTATGAAATATTTTTTTTGCATACAGGTATAACAGAATAGCTTTAGTGTAGTTGTTGTTTTAAACTTGAGTATGAACTTATACAAAATGCAGCACGATATTTAAAAAAAACAGTTTTGTTGATTAAAAAACACTATATCAGATTCATATCGGTATCGCAGATATCCAAATTTATGATATCGGTATCGGTATCGGACATAAAAAAGTGGTATCGTGCCATCTCTAGTTGTAACACTTCCAATTTCTCCAATCAGGGCTAAGTTTCAAATGATGTGACTCATCCTGTGCATGCCCAATTCAGTTCTGCTATCACATGTGAAAAATCAGCACATTTTGTCAAACACAGACAATTTAACACGAAAAAAAGTAATTTGTATGCCAAAAAGTAAGTTTTTCTACTTTATTTCAATTTCTAATAGCATTATTTGCTTTTCAGTTAAACTCATCAAACTTAAATTATGTTATTTGTATGTCTATGGGGATATATTCTGTGTAGGTCTTTAGTGCTAATGTTTTAGCCGTTGGCTGTAATGTTAGCTAGTTCATGGCTATAGGAGTCTGGGTCAGTTGTAACAGCAACAGTCTGGGTTATTTGTAACAATAATGCAGATGTTACAACTTACCACACTATTACTTTAACTTGTATTAAACAAGTTGGGGCAGTGACATCAGCAGAGAGAGGTTCACTGGTCGCTTTTGTATATGCGGTTAATGCCATTGACAACACAATTCCTCCACTGTTTGTGTTCCCACATATACATTATGCAGACCACTGTGTCAGAGATGGACCAGTAGGAAGTACTGGTAGTGGAAATAAGTCAGGATGGGTGTAAGAAACAGATTTCCTCATCTTTCTGAAGCACTTTGCAAACCACACCAAGGTAAGCCATGATAAAAAGTAATGGAATTGCGATGCTGGTGAACAACTACATTTTTTCAGCTTCATTGTTATGTTCAAAATTGGTGCACGAGTTGTAGGTTATAATGCCAACTTAGCCAATGAGGCCAAACTCAAGGAAGACCAACCAAAATTAATGAAATATTCAGTTGCAGAAAATTCCATAACTTGTCTTTTTTTGGGCAGTTGGAATATGTTCAAAAGCTAGATTTCTGCATTCTGTCACACACACACAGAGCTACATAAATGGCTCTAAGTGCATTCATGTATTGAATAAACAAAGATTACATGTTAATGTTTTGTTAGTACCCTTATTTCATTGTGTTACATTTCACCCCAGGATATGTTACAACTAACCCAGACTATGTGGTTAATTGTAACATTTCACTCTTTGTGTTTGAGACCATACCATGCAATGGGTAATTGTGCTGCAGAGAAAATAGCTGCACTATTTAATAGCCGAGACATGTAAATACTTTGCATTACATTTTGAATCCTACCTTAAAAGAGCTCCAATTTACAAATAATCTTGACAACTCAACTTTTAGTAATAATTGAAGTTCTTCTTAGATCACCTGTAGTTTACACCTTAGGAGCTTTCAAAAAACAGCTATGATAAATATAATAATTACCTCATCACAAGAAAAGGGGCATAAAAAATAATCATGAGCACAAGCATCCTTGGCTCTATTACTAAGTGGGCTGCACCAATGTTTTTTCCTTAAATTCTTTCTGATGTACAGCCTGTTATGATTCAGTGTTATCAGTGTTTGTTTTATGTGTGACTATTCCCAAAAGAGGATGGCTGTGAGTTTTTTCCTTTTCTTTCATGGGGGTGGACACCTGGGCGTGCCTGCTGAGTTGTTGGGTGGAGGTTGTTCCTGCCCTGGGATTGGACAATTGGTTGATCACCCCCAGTATTTAACCACCAGATGACAACCACCTGACCCCTCTCTCCTAGCCTCCACCACCCCAACAAAGAGCCTGTGTTTTTGATTTGTTGTTACATAAAGTGTTTTTACCAATTGACTCGCAAGTTTAACCTCGTGTGTGTGTCTGGCGTTAGAGCTTTGATCTTGTAAATAAATTTGTAAAGAAGCATTTGTGTACCTTTTTTTCACTGTGTATATATTGTTCACTGCAGCAGCCTGCTAGGCGTGAGAAGCCATTTTTTGTTGATTCAGTTTTCTCCTGTTTTTCTTTTAGAATGTTAGGTAAGTGAACTGTCTTTTGGTTTGATTTCTTTTGTATAGGGAAGCATAGGAACCTTTAGGGAGTTTTGTATATTCTTTTGGCATTGCTCACTGCTGAAGCAAATAAACGGCACTTTAAAGGGTGATCCTGTTTTTTCTTTCTTGAGTAGTGCGTGAGTGGGGGCCAATTTCTTTTGCGTTCAATGCGCACCTAGACTTAGAACGATACAAGCCTTATTACACTGTTATCTACCATCTTTTTTGCTGGGAGCTGGAGTGGGAAAGAATGCAGAACCAACCCAGATCTAGATAATGTGAAATAAGATTTTACTGTGCAAATGTGCAGTGCTTCAAAGGTGACACTTAGACGCGCCATGATGTCTTGATTTATTTGAAAAACGAAAAAAAAAAAAAAAAAAAGTAGTACATATTCACATCAAATGTCTACTGAGAACACACTAAAAACAATTTCACAAAGAAAACTGCCTTTTTTGGAATGAAGCAAATAAAATTTCAAGTAGTGGCATTTTCTTTGTTCTTTTTTCTCATTTATACATAAAAACACTATGTACATTTAAAAAAAACCAACAAAAAAAACAACACAGGCTATAACCAGTCTGAAGTAACAGTTTAAAATGCATTTACAGTCAGTCACAATCCTTTCAACATCATGTACTGGTCCTCCTGAATGTGGGATGAAATTCAGTGAAAACCCCAGAAAGAAAAGACAAAAAACAAAAACTTTAGTGTAAAAAAAAAACAACAACAAAAAAAACAACTTCCATTTGTGTCAACGACAGAAACACTAATGCATTAAAAACCACTTTAGTACTGATTGTTCAAGCGTGGAAAGTTGTTACATTGATTGAACCACCCTCCCTTCTGTGATAATTAAAGTGCTAGACCTTATACAGATGGAGAAAGAAAGAAAAGTGAGTAAAGCACTTTTTCACATCATCTTAGAGTTCTGTGTTGCGCTGGGTGCTGTGTCAGGTCTGCGCAAAAATAAGTTACAACCACACAACACCAAACATTTGCACAATAGTTGTTCGGCTGGTGGTTCTTGGTCATTGGCAAAACTTCACAAATGTATAGTGTATGAAAAACCCAACATTTACCACCTGATGTGATTAGTGTGTTACAGGTCTTAACACTGATCAAAACATTAAAACAGAATAAAAATTTATACACAGCACAACTGGTGTATAGTTACAAGACTACAGAGGATGCAGTTCACCAAATGAGTCATTTCACAGCTCTGCTTCTCTGAAGGTAGATGCCCCTGAAACGAGTAAAACAGACACCACCACAGTACCTTTGGCAAAGAACAAAAGTGAACGTGAAGGCAAACAATCATTGACGATCCATTAAGTAGATGACAGTGGTCACCTATGTATGAAATTCACCAAAATACAAGCTTACTTCTTGTACAGACAGTGCATATCAGCAACCAAAACAATACACCCCCCCAAAAAACAAAACATATCCATGAGGTTTCACTTTTTACAACTATCCAGCGTGATCTGAGATAGGTCGTTGTAGGAGACTGTAAAAATAGCTGAAATGGCAACCATTGTACCAGGGTCCTGAGGAAAGGCAAGTTATTTTCCAGTGGTATCAGAGCTGAGTGTGAGTCTCTTTACTGGAGGTATTTAATTGCTGCAAGCCTGTAAACATGTAAATGAAATGTAACACAATAGAAGGCATGTTTCTATTCTATTCATATACAGACGTTCGTCTTTCCCTTACTTCTCCTTGAGCCAAGTCTCTAGATCTTGTGGTGATTGACAGACCAGTGCAGACTGACATGAGTCAGCCTGCAATATTGAAAAGTGCTGGAATTTTTTTTTGTGTGTGTGTGTGTGTGTGTGTGTGTGTGTGTGTGTGTGTGTGTGTGTGTGTGTGTGTGTGTGTGTGTGTGTGTGTGTGTGTTTTCTTAAAGTGTGAAAAGTCTGAGGCCATCAAAATAACCATGGTCTATAGGCTCAGAAACCCTGCACTGGCAGAATACTCTTCCTCCTCCTCTTCTCTCTCCACCTCGCATCCACTGTGAGCCGCTGTGTTCTTCCTTTTTACTTGTTTGCTAGATGTGCCCCGAGGCCTCTGCATGGGAACTAAGAGGCGGAAGCCTGGCTGGGCATTGGAAGAAGCAGCACCCAGAGAAGTGGTAAAGGTCTTGAATGTGCAAGCCCTGAGAGACGATGAGTAGGAGGAGGAGGAGCATGTAGATGAGGGGCTTACACTCTGGACTGAGGAATATCCTGAACTGTGAAGGTCTTTAGAGAGGGAAACGGGCTCTTGGCCTTGGGAATCCTTGTTCACCTCCCTCCTTGCTTCACAGAAGCTGTCCTCATCGCTGGATAGAGCTCGGCAGTGCTCCCCCCTTTCGCCTGCATCAGTAAGCGGATCCAGCTTGATGGATATCATGGAACCTATTGGGGGAAAAAAAAAGAAAAGAAAGTGCTGCTTAGTCATCTCCATTTAAATTATGTTTTACTCAAGATGAACTCAGGTATTCTCCTGTTCATATAGTTTAGCTCATTTAAATGCATTAAAGAATTTGAGCCTGCTGGTAATCAGCACTGCATTAAGCGTGCCCTACCCCTCCTTCATACTCACAGTCATCCTCTCTCTCTCCCTCGCTTTCTTCCTCCCTGTCCCCCTCATAACCCGAGCAGGAAGTGTCCAGGCTCCAATCCAGGATGTCGCCCAGCAGCTTCTCCTCCTGATTTGATAGTTCTGCAGTGGGCGTGGCCACAAAGCTGCCTCGGTGCGCCTGCATGCTGTCATCGCGTCTCCTTCGGAAAAACAGTGGGACAAGCAGAGGGGTTGCTGTGAGTCACGGGAACTTCTCGCAGATGGCACAAAAACAAACACCTTCTGGTCAAGATGCTTCACGAGTCAGTTCGCCACAGCACACAGGTGACTCAGCCACGATAAGAGCTGCTAAATGAGCAAGGAAAGAGGCGGGGTGTGTCTCAATTCTCCGCATGTCCTAAATCCCATCACACCAGCACTCTACTAAGCTTGTATTGATTTTCTATATACATCCTGCACATGATGCAAAACTGGGTGCTACACATGCCACATCATGTTACATACTGGAGCTTTAATAGGAACTGTTCCCTGGTCTTTGCTGATGTAGTCAGTACACTTATCTAAAATCATTTGATTGCTCGCACAGGGTACATTGCGCAGCAAATGTTTTTACTGAGTGGCCAATTAATACCGATTTTCACAGTCATAGAAAGAGAAAATAAATGCCACATTACTCACAATTATGTGAGCTAATGATGTGTCTCTACACATTCAGACCCTGCTTACTTCTTGCTATCGCTTGATGGAGAGGCCAGGAAGGTATGGATGTCCGCTGGCTGACCAGTGGGACTGGGAGGCTCCATCTGAGGCACCACCTCAGGAATCTCCAGGATCTGGCAGAGCTCTTTAAAATCCATCACCTTGTTGAAACCATGAAGGGGAGGAAAAAATTTCATTCAGAAAAACCACGGCAAGATATGCCTTAACCATGCCTAACCCTTTTTTATAAAATTAAGACAATTAATAATAATAATACTAGCGCAGTACCTTATCTTTACTGATGTGGTGGTAGGCCTCGTCTTCAAACCGTTGCTTGACACCAGTGAGAGAGACGTGCCTGTAATCTTTGGGAACATCTTGACTGAAACTGAAGACAGACAGGGAGGGGGAAGCAAAGGGGAAAAAAAACAAGACCTGAGTATGATCCAGTTTACTTGCAGCAACACTTCAATCATCTCTTGGGGACAAATCTTGTTACTTGTCCATTTGCGAATTACAGTTTGTTGATACGATGCTCACCTATCAAAGAGACTCACCCCGAGGCACGTTTCTGTGACTCAGTTGCTGATTCACTGGTCACCCACACACACACACACACACCCACATCCAACCACCTCCACATCAATAGTCCAAATGCTTCCCTCTGTCTATAAGACTCTGGCACTCTCTCCACTTTGGTTTTGCTTTAAAACCCTCACGGCCAATCACTTTCTTTGGCCAGAGTCATCAATCAATTCTTGTTATCTTCCAATCGAGGAAAGCACAGTGAGGCAACAGGGAAATACATTTTTGGCTCATCTTCTCCAATGTAGGTTCTGTAAAGCTGCTGAGCTGTAAATAAACAGCTGAACAGGCATTTGCTTTATTAATTTGTGAGATCCAATAATAGGAGAGAAACTGGTGAGATTATTGGCCATGGGAGCACGTCAATAGCAATTTTACAGTCTGCTTGTAGTTTTGGAGTTCCATCGACCAATCATGTTTGAGCAGGGTTTAGGTGAATGCAGGTAAATCTCTTTTCTCCGAACATGGACGAACTGTAACAACGAAACCACCAATTATCATAAGTGACAGCTGGGAAACAAAAAAACAAAAAAAAAAACGCATTGATAAAGAATAACCCAAAGACAAAACAGGAAGTTTTTGTCATCTGCTTTCAGTCAGCCCATTAGCCCACTCCTTACTTTGCCAATGCTGATTCCCCCCCCCCCGTTTTTCTTGACTTAGCGTTGCTTCTTGCTTTACCATAACAATTTCTTAAGTACATAAAGAGTTATAAGTCCCTCAGCCGAACAACCTGTAATTAACAACAAGCTACAAGCAAGACGCAGCCTCCAGGGCTGAAAAGTCAAGCCAATAAAGAAGTGCCAAAAACTGCAATCCTTCTAATTGCCACTTAAGTATGACTCCAAAAAACAAGTCATTTCCCACAGGCTGCTCTTGTTAAAATATCACATTTTAAAGTTTAAAAGCAGATTTACTGCCCGCTACAAACTGTTATGGCCTCTATGGATAGTTTCTTCTTTCATCACAACCCTACTGTGGGGCGATTTATTAAAGAAAAAAACAAAAGAAAGAAAAAAACAAACAAACCCATCCTCCATGCTGGAGTTTGAGGCATAGCAGCAGCATTTGTTATACTAGGCTTCACCTCCACAAACTGCATCTATTAACTGGACTTCTGGACTGTGCTCCAAAAAGAGCATTTTAATAGAACTAACTGACTAAGAATATGGCTCACTATTTAAAAACAGGCCAAGCAAGAAATTTGTGCTTCAGTTTTTTGCGAGTAAGAGTATGATGCATTTAGAAATGCATTCATTCCTAAATGCAATGATGTGAAAACCTCAAAGCCATTTAAAAAAAAAAAAAAAAAAAAAAGGAAGAAGAAAGATCCCGTGTGCACAGAGATTTCTCCAGATTCTCAGGATGTTTTGATATTGGATGATTATATGGATTATGATGTACATGGTGAGATATTTTTGAAGTCTCCACAATGTTAAACTGATGAACCTCTGCTCATCTTTACTCATGAGAAACTGTCTCTCAAAGACCCCCCCTTCTCAAACCCAGTCATATTACTGTCCAGATGCCAATTAGCATATTTAATTGTAAAATGTTTCTTTTAAGTACTACTTTAATCTCCAAGCCGTTTGTTGCCCTACATCCAAACTTTTTTGCACCACGTTGCTGCCAAATTCAAAATGAGCTAATATTTCCATTAAAATTACGCTCCCTCTTTTCTGTGATCTATTCTGAATAAAATATGGGTTTATTTGATTTGAAAATAATTGCATTCTGTTTATTTACATTTTAAGTGCACAATTTTTGGAATTTTAGCAATTTCTGCATACTAAAACCATGATTATGCTGTCTATGCAGACAGGTGGCGCATAGACAGTATATAACATGAACATAGCTATTGTGATGTTACTCGTTGATTTCCGAAGTCCCGTTTTGAAGCCCAAAGGTGAGTATAAACTGTCTGTGAAGCATAAACTGTGCATCTATTGGCTGATGACTTGTTGTTGAAACCTCATTAGCCAATGAGTGTACAGTTTCACGCCATAAATAATCCTCGATTATGAAAGATGGTATGACCAAGATTTACAAAAAAAAAACTTCCTTTTTTTTAAATTTAATATTATCCCAAAATGTATGACTGAGTCCATCAGACTTGTTTACAGAGGTCAAATCAGAAAGCTGTTTTTCTAGACTTCTATTGGATCGAAAGTCTTTCTGCAACTTCAGCTATCACCATCTGGTGGCCTTCAAGCAGAATGCAAGTTTAAGGCATTTCTACATTGGTTTCATTTTTCTGACGTGGAAGCTACCTCCATGTTTTTTTATTGTTTATTGAGCTGGAGACACGATGGCTAAGTAATCATTCCTGTTGTACTACTTTGTCCACCTACTCTGGTACACATGGGGTTAAGTGCATTGTACTGCTAAGTCTCTGTAATGCAAAGACCAAGCTGACTCAGACGTGCAAAGTATAATCAAGGCTTTAAGCAGATTGCTCCTGTGTCGGTGGGGTGAACCAGTAAAGTTTATGCAGTTACATCTGTAGTTCCAATTACATGGATACTAGATAATGCTAAGACTTAATCTGGTTTTATAATTTCAATGTGCACGAGTTCTCTTGGGTTCCTGGAATGTGGAGGGTCCAAGGCTTCAAAGAAGTATAACAGGAATGATAACTCTCATGTTGGGTCTCCAGTTGTCCGTGTCCGTAACCAAGTATAACCCAGGGTTTAGTAGGATCTGCGCTAAGTAACCACTAATCAAATACAGTAGGGTAAAGCAAACAGCACAAAATAGATATGCCCATTTTATATTTCTTATTACACTTGCAGCTTATGATCTGAAGCATTTAAGATGTGCAAGTCACAGCTGCTCTGATGTCATTTGATGTCACACTCTGTGAATCTAACATGGCGTGATGTGAGGGAGTTTAGTTTTGCGTACACACACACACACACGCACGCACGCACACGCACACACACGCACGCGCACGCAGAAACGTACCATTTGACATAGAGCAGCACTGAAAGGGGAACAATGTCTTGCTTGGAAAAGCCTGTGTAATCTGCCAACAAGGTGGGCCAAAGAGGAGCTGCAGAGAGGAAGAACACAGACATAATTTAAGATGAAGGTAAACTTAACACGAAACTAAACCTGTACATTCTGCTTGTTTGAAAAGACTCTTGAGTTACAGCCTGTTGTTAAAAGGCTGGAACGTTGTACGAGTGTGTATGAGCGAGTGTGTTTACCATAGTGATGTAATGCCCGTGTGAGCAGCAGTGCGGCACAGGCCAGTTTAGCAGGTGGCGGTGTGGCTAGAGCAGAGTAAAGCAGGGACAGCTCGCAGATGTAGCTAAATAGGTGAGTGGTTCGCCTCTCCAGAGGGAGCAGAGAGAACAGGACCTCGCCGTAGTCCAGCAGTGTGGGGCTCTGCAAGAAAGCATAAGCATTAGTCTTTGCATTAAAGAAGGTCGGGAAATACTTCACTGGCACCAAATACTAAACAATACACTAAACAAACGATGCTTGTTGTATTCACCCTGATGTTTCCCTCCAGCACAGAGATGACCTCTCCCATCATTCGAACCAGGTCCTCATATTTGTAGGTGTTGTCTGTCAACCAAACTGCTTCACGTATGGTCAGGATTTCTTTGCTGATGTATCTGAAAAGGAAAAAAAAAGTTACAAAACATTTGCCTTTTAGATAAATAAATAATTCAGAAACGAACAAAAACCATGGTATGTGTGCATCCTTACCTTGTGCAGATGACCATGCAGGCGATTCCTAATAACTGAAGACGAGCTTTGGGGACAGACCGCAAAGTCAAATAACGGTCCACGCAGCCTACAGTCACATGCAGCGTCTGGCTGGTGAAGTCCTTCATTGTGGTCACCTCCACAAGCCAGTCCACCAGGATGTACCTGGAGACAAGCAGACAAAAAATTTAAAATCAGGTGCATCAGGGCAGTGTGCCAAGTTTTAACCATGTAATAATAATCAATATCGTAAACCTTTTAAGAATATAAACTGGGTGGCTTTGGAAAGCAGAAAGTGGCGTTTCTAAAACTTGGTAACAACAATTCAAGTTAACTCAGGGCATCAGACTCGGTCACATCTACCTCAAGTCGATGTGGTAACTTTTATTGCCGGGGTGTGTCATCCCTTTACTAATGTCATTAAAGAAGGGGAGGATAATCAGCACGCAGTGAGTCATCACAGGGACTAGAGATATTCATCAAGAGACAGTAAAATCATGACGTTGCTTCTGTTCGATCTACCTCATGCTGTCCTTGATTCCTTGTTTCAAGATTTCCTGAGATGAGGGCCGTGATGCTGGATTACAGGAGCTGAAGAGCTGGGCGACTAAATCCGAGCAGGCCTTCGACTCCAAACCCAGCGGATTGCCACTGCTGCACACTTTGGCCAAGGACAACTAGGGGAAGAAGACAAAGCACTAAAATAATTACACAAGAAGGCTTGACATCTTGCTGCTATGTAACGCTAGAAAGGCAACAACAAAGTTTAGTACTGTATTAGTTTCCTGATATAATTACAGACCTTGGGATTTAGCTGAGTCATACTTTTGTGATTCAGTGGGGCGAAAAAAAAAGAAAAAAAAGAAAGAGAGAACGTCAACATCTGTCAAGCCCTCTTGACTTTAGTTGATAGCATTTCAATAAGCAACTCCAACTCTGGAGAAATGTAGGCCCGGGTAATAAAAAACAAGAAATGACAGCTGAAAGGCTTTCAAAAGAAAAGCCATTTGCTGCTTTTTTGTATCACCGCAGGGGAGTACAAAGAGAGAACAAAGCTACAGATTGACAGAGAAAACCGATCACAAGAAAGTTGGTGAATTGTCCTCAATCACGCACCTGTGCCTCCCAACATCCTTTCCCAGCATAGTCCCTGAGGGTTCGCACACACTGCAGGTACCTTCCTGGATCTGCGATCTGAAACACATACACCAAAAAAACCGAAAACAAAACCGTAAGCTCATGATTGGAGTCAACGTGAGAATCTTTCTAGAATCTGTAAAGCATTTACTATGTTAGCTGGTTATGTTTGACTGACTGTGTAAATAAGAAATAAATCCCAAACAAACAGCTGTCTTCACCAAAGGCGCATGCTTCTGAGAGTAAATCTCGAAACACGGTAATGAGAGAACCTGACTCACAGCTGCCTTACGGCTGTGCTGCCACATCAGGTATGAGCTCTGTAGACAGCCAGCCTGTGACGACTCCTCCAGCATGGATATGGCTTCTGAACGCTTCTCATCATCCTGGACAAATGAAACACAGTTCCTTAAGGTTAATGATAGCAGTAAAGGTAAACTGTCTGCCGCATGCTGTCTCTGCAACATATGAAGGCTCGTGACATAGTTCTGCTTTGTCACATTGGTAAATAACAAAGCATACTGAAGCTGTGAGTAAGAAGAAACAACAAGGCCTGTAAGACAACAGAAGCTGCATGACAGGGACTTATTCCATCTGTGGTGCTAATGACCAACTGGTCCAACAGCCCCTGTGACATCAGCTCAGTTTTAGGTTTTGGTGAAGGGGTGGGGGTAATAGAAACTGGTCTAACCACACCTGGATTGAGATACAGCCCCCCACAGTCTCACTCACCTCAAACAGCTGCAAAACTTTGGCCAAACAATGCAACAGGGGACCCCTCCTCTCCTGCAGAGAAATCACAAAAGCAGATTGGTAAACAGTTTTGCACATGCAGTGTATGGCACTGTAAATCATAGTCAACTAAGAAGAACAGAAGCCAAGCTTTAGGGACAGGGTGTTCAGGCAGCCTTCCAAATATTACATTTTTATGTAATATTTTGTCTGAATTAATGATTTAAGAGAAACCCCAACTTAATACTTTAAGACCAAATCAGGCATCAATGGAGATTAAATTTGCACCCCAGCTGGTCAAACAGGAACTCTTAGCCTACCATGTTGTTAGCGCACTCAGCCTTGAGGTGATCAAACACCACGGCCTTGCAGCAGCTGCCGGTGGGCGACCACGGTGGACGGATGAACACCCAGATGAAGGGATCTGCTGTGAGGGAGCGCAGGCTCTCTGCGAGGCTAAAGAAGTGGGAAGCCTTTCGACCACACACATCTGCTCGGCCCTCGTCACTTAACAATGCTGAAGGCGAGAGAGGATGCACATTTTTAATCAATTAGTTCAATTATTTAAAGGGTTTTCTGTTATCTGTGTTTATATATGACTCCCCATTTAATCTCTGACATGAACCAACCAACAACTTACGTCCTTCATTGTATAAATATGCAATTCCAAGCTTCACAGCAGCTTCAAAATTCCCTTTGTCAGCAGCTCTAAAGGAAGACAAAATTTAAAGTAAAGACTCAAATTGACAAACAACATATATACAAGTACACTTTTGACAGTAGGTGATGTACCTTTCAAAAAGCCATAATGTGTTTGGGGATGGCCACGTGTCTCTGAAACTGACCCTGGCCCAAACACTAGAGTGGTTGTCAACAATGTCCCGCAGCTGAGAGTGAACCTGAAACAGGCATTTAAACAAATAAATAAAAATAATTAGAACCCCAGCAGAGGAGAAATCTCAGGTAATAAAGAGTTTAGCTGTGTCAGAGTGTGCACTTTTACTCACAGCTCGGATAGACAGGAGATCCTCTGCAGAGAGATACTGGAGCACACAGAGAAGAACCTCCTCAGGAAGAGACAGCAAGGTGATCCCAGAAGATCGCTTACGTACCCGCTTCCGTGCTGGAACCGAGTAGCATTTTGAACAACGGCAGTGGACAACTGAAAGAAAAAAAGCAAAGAGGAACTGCATATATTACACATCAAATGTTTTGAATACTTGAGCATCTTTCCCATATTCACCCTGCAAGCAACAGCACTGGGAGGAATGCTTTAAGTGTACACAATCAAAATCACAAATCACTTAAAATTCCACACCTAAGTGCAAGATTGGCTAACTAATTCTCACATTAATGACTAACTAATATTTGCCTTTCATTGAAAGCAGGTCAAGTTGATTTAGACATACAGTGATGCACTCCAAGATGAAGGTTGCATGGCTCCACATTCAAAACTACTAACGTAAGGCATCTACGGGTGGTCTACTCAAACTCTCTGTGAGTGAGTGGGAAAATGTTTAAATTAATGGAAAGATCATCACCTTAAAAGTATTAAAACACATAAAAAGCTAATGTTTTTTTTCTGCAGATGTTAAAAATCTAACGGCGGTGAACTGAGCAGCTGAAGGAGGAAAGTCAAAGTCGATGAGCGCCCAAATTTCCCTCCTGTAAGTTCCACGGCAGTAGTAACGATGAGTTTCAATTAGGTTTCAAATTCGAACTAGTCTAACGCTAAGTATTTATTTTTCAATGACCACAAAATGCTCACAAAGTTAAAAGAAGAGACGTTTTACCTGCATAGATATATTGCCAATATGATTTACCATTACTTCCCGGAGGCTATACCAGTTAACGTTTGTGGTGAGCAGCAGCTAATCACCAATGCTAACTGTGTCAAACTTTAGTGCTCTGAAGTAAGACCGCAAACACTTGTTGCATATTATAGTAATTTCCATATATCGGTGTTAGCAAGAACAAGTTGAAAAAAGTACTTACCGCCTGCTTTCATTGCAAGTACAGGGATCACTCCTCAAACAGCGATGTCTTACTGTAGATGCAACTCTTGAGTAGCGATTTATATACGAGACGATGTTGGCTAATGTTACTCACATTCAAATGCTCACACTAATTATTAGAAAACGAAATAGGCAGTGTTACAGTGTTGTTTCCTGTGTCTGTTTTGCTGTGATAGTTGACTAATGTCTCCGTAAGTTGTTAGCTATTGCCTGAATTCAAATCCAAGCACGCGTCCTCACTTATTGGACCCGCCCCAAAAGATGCTCTCTAGGACCGCCCGCGCTCACCGTTTAAACTATACGTTCAATCTGATTGGTCCTCACTGATGATGCCTTTATTTAACATTTTAGCCATTTGATTGGTCAGCGCGAAGAACGCTCGCGACGATTGGTCAGACGGTATAAAACTGTAACATATTAAACGCTCATTGGAGAACGTAACGACATTTCGAAGTACGCGCTCGTTAGTGAAGGTATATAATTGGCTGACCCGATTTAGAAGCATGCCCACCGAACAACCTTTAAACAGTGGACTGTGGGAAATGTAGTTGGATAGAGAATATTTTTTAAAGGTACGGTGTTTAAAGGGACAGGTGCGTAGCGTCAGCTTTGAAGGATGTCAAAAGACATCCCCCAAACATATTGTTAGCCATGGGACTTCATTGTAACTTTTTAATCATCTTCTGTTGTATATATATATATATATGTGTGTGTGTGTGTGTGTGTGTGTGTGTACATTAAGCTAGATGTTTCTTTACGTCCTGATATGTAAAATATTTGAAATGACAGAAGATGCCAAGTCAAATCAAAGTTTATTTTTATAGGACATTTAGAACAACCTCAGTTGACCAAAATGTATGGGTCCATATAGGTGTATAGGTTATGCGAAATATTATATAATTAACATTAAACCAGCTCACTAATAAATACACTAATATACACAATAAACTCAATAAAACATCATGAGATAAATCTCAATAGACATAAATAAGACCAACTGTAATAAAAAAATGCAATACCCTGCTCAGCAAGAATAAGCAGGCTTTAATGTGTGTTTTAAAATGACTGAGAGTTTGTAATATGATATGTAATATGATTATATTTGTTTGCTAAAACAGAGATGTAACTAAAAGAAATTAGCGACTGGTTCAGCTTCTGAAGCAGCTGCCTTTAATTAGATGACACCCTGATTGTAATTATGATTATTATGTCCCCACTGTTATTTGCTATACTGTCTCAGTTCAATAGTATCTCTTCATTGCTTGTCTTTCTGAAAAGGGTCTTAAGGGAGCAGCGTAACCTCCCAAGAGTAATCATGTGTTCCTTTCAGGCTCTCTATTGATCCACACATCACCTGCTCATCCAATCTAATCATCACTAACAATAGCCAGTGCTCAACATTGCCTCTTCCACTCAGTAGGTTCCTTTAAAAAAAAAAAAGAGGAAAATGCCTAAATAAGTTTACATGAAACTTTTATGTAATTCACAAAAGCATTAAGACAACACATCTAGGCATTCTTCTTCTATAATCATGAGCTTACAAGTGTTTAAATTGCTCATTTGCTCATTCTTAGGCTATTTAAAACTGGAGGTGCAGGATGATCAAATTATCTTGTAGCGGAGTGACCTCAGAGAGGGCAGGGGCTGTAACATCCACAACTAGATGCAGCAGTTTCCATAGAAACTCAGAGTAATCTTAACCGTTTTCTCAGTAAAACACAAAGTAACCAGGGAGAGGAGATCCAGTGGTGCTTTGAACCTTAACAAAAATAATTAAAGCTAAAGCTCAGTGTGCTCAGAAAACTGCAAGATCTGTCATTTTTATTGGTAGTAAAAAAGTTTATTTATATATGGGAAGTAAATGGGAGATGACTTCACATTTCAGTGACTTAATTTGCAAGCTTTATTGATGAGAAAAAGATTGCTACTATCTGTTTGTAATTTCCAGTGTTGATGATGCCCATACAGAAATACCTAAAACTAAGAACCAGCATTTAGTTTGTGTCACTGTTGGATTATTAAAGTATTCTCAAGTCTTTGAGTGATTAAGCCCAATGTCTTCTCGTCACATTTGTTTCTGTTGCAATAGCTACACACAGACTGCAGCTTAATGTCATTTTGCTTGTGATTTAATCTGACCGTCTGGCCAGGCATGTGTAATTTCATCTACAACTGTCTCCAAAACAGCTCCCATAATATCTGGAGATGAACTGAAATGTAACTCCCTCCTGCTACAAAGGTATTATGTGGAACCAGCCTTAGTCGCTGGCTAATTAAATACACCCAGATTTGTCTTTTGAACAGATGGTGTTGATCCGAAATTTGAATAAAGTATAAATAAAGTCATGGGACACCAGATGTCTCTTTAATGTGTCAAATTGTGCTCTTTGCTTCTTTTTTCTGTTTTGTATGTATTAAACTGAGTTTTATATAATTCAAAGTCTGATAAGGAGCCAAATAGTGCTGAATGTTTTGGTTTGAGGCCAAGTTCTGGATAAAAAGAGGCGGACGACTTGTTTCCGTCTGGTTTCCTGTAATCCGTGCTGACCCTAGCAATCCAGCTGACCACTTCCACCTCGTCTGTACTTTGCCCCTCAATGGCCTACCCACCCTTTTATCAAGACCTAAGCACTGTTCCCTCCACACCCACGCTTTACCAGCTGTAATTTAATTTGATGAAATATGTTTATACCCAGAAATATAAAATTAATTCCTGCAGAACTGTGACTTAATAACAAGTGAGAGTACTTGGCCTACTTTATTCTACTGCCAGTAGGTGGTGTCATTTATTCTGATTGATGTTGGCCAGTCTGTTTTCTTAACAACCAGATTCCTCATCCCCGGGTATCTGAACAAGTCATCCTAGCTGGCAGGGCAACACATGACAGCGCGTCTAAATACAGCATCGAAATTTCAAGCGAAGGCTGTCAACTGAAGACAGGTTTTGCGTTTTGTGAAAAAACAGAGCGACGGTTGTAATTATTGCTCACACTGTTCGAAATAGAGCCAAAACAATGTTGTTCTCCTTTGTATCCACTGTCCACTCTCCACTTGTCTTCTGTATTTTTAGCCCTGTCAGAGATTCTTCCAGATTGACCAGGACAGAGTTGAATGGTGTGACGGTTCACACTATTCTAAATTATTTTCCAAAGCAAACAAGTACAAAGACATACAATGAATGCATAAAGGTTCTTTCTTTTTACCTTTAGGCTATCACAAACAAGGTGCTTATGTGACATTTGTTTAATACAGTGCTTACATGAACAATTCAAATTTACATATGAGTAGAAATATACAGTACAAATAGAAAAATAATTGTATATACAGCACCAAATATTAGTGGGCACACAAACCAACGTATTTTGTGTCACTCGCTGGAGTGACAAAAAGCATAGGCTGACAGCATGGCTGTCTTCTGGGAGAGGGACATTTTTCCCCGCAGCAGAGAGAGGTAGGTTTTCCCTTTAATCTTTCAGAAGGCAGAAGGGAAATCACTTCACATCTCCAAGAAACAAGAAACAATTTCTGGTCACCTTCCATCATTTTTTTGTTTTTGTTTGTTTGTTTAGTGTCAATATACTGGCACGATATAGCTTTAAAATGAACAACAATGCGGCCAAAGTGTACTACATATATAATGTGGACTATACAGAGGCGAGAGTATAAGCGTATACACGTTACCTATCTTGTTTTTGGCATCCTTTGTTTCCCACAGTAAACTGACGAATAACCATCTTTTTTTCCTCTCTGTGCCACCAAACATCCTTCTCTTCCACATCTGTGACAGGTCCACCACATCTGTCCACAACTCATGCCCATCATTGTTAGAGCAAACCCTAATCCGGGTGAACGGATCTGATAGCAAAGCGAGACAGCCCGTGTAATGTAAATCTTAACTTGTCTTGATCAGAGGATACTAAAACAATGGCCCACCTATAAATACTTTTATGAGCTTTGTGCATTTGACATTTACCTTAAAAAAAATTATAAATGCTTGCAGTATGCCGGTGTTTGCAAACACACTGATCTAAGGTTCAGAGAAGACTTATTCCTCTCCTATTCAATTTAAATTCTCGCCATGGATTCCAGTAATGCATCATGTTCCTCGACAATATTACTGCTTTGTTCAGGATGGCTGATCCTAATCTAACTGCTGGGGCAACTACTCACTGCCACATGTAGTGAAAGGAATGACTTCCCAGGTTCCTTGTTTTTCTCCATTACCTCCTAACTATATTTCTCTTCCTTCATTAGCATGCAAGACAACATCTAAATGCACACTGAGCCGCAAAACATGTCAAAAGAAAAGGGGCCGACTCTTTGCAAGTGTACTGAGGTTGGGCAGGATGACAGATGCAGCCTTGAATTTGGCAAGTTGGCCTTCAAAAGGTCCTCGGTGGGATTGGCATTCGATGTTAACTGTTACCCCTGGGTATACAGACACATTTTCCTTAGCAAGCTTGACTAAACCAGTGGAGACAATCAATGCAACAGTGATCTATAGTAGCTCTCAAAGGTAAAGAAGTGTCACTAAAGTCCTTCACGTGGAGACAAATTGTCTTCTCTGAAATTGCTATACATTGTATACATTGCACTTACTCCCTGCGGGAGTTACGTTTTGAACCTCATGTTACATTCAGTCACACAAAAGAGAATGATTAAGACAGAGTAAAATGCCATTGTTTATCTCATCCTGTGAGAAAGCACCTATTCACAGATGTGGCGCTGAGCGCAGCTACATTCACTCACTCTTCCTAAAAGAAAATGTGAAGGAAAAGGAAACCCCAGAGCCACTTAGAGCCTACCTATTACTCAATTTTCACTAGAGAACAGCCTTGTATCCTATTTTCACACAGGATTTTGCGACTCACTTTTAATCAACATTTTTTCCACAGCTGGGGGAAAAAATTAAAACAACCAATTCCTTTGGCACAGATAGATAAAGACTGCATGAATGTCTGCGGACTGTGAGGTTGTCGTGTAAGTGTGTGTCTTAATTTGAGCATAATAAGTCTGTCCACACATCTCCTGGGCTATACAACAATGGAAAATGAGTGTGATTAAGTCAGAAGCTGGCAGTGTACAATGAGAAACAGATTTGAAGAGTCCTGTTGGGTAAAGAGAGAAAGCAAAGGGGGGTAACTCTTGGAGTGGGGGAATGTGGCAGAGCTTTTTTCCATGAGTGGTTGCTCAAGGCACCAAACGGGAGGGGCCCTAGGGGAGCAGGATCAGTCAAAGTGTCCCTG